TAGGGTATATGTAGCTTTCTGATTTACTTCCATAAAAGTTTACTTCTATAAAAAAATTTTTAAATAGAGGGAAAGTTTACAAATAATTGAAACTGAAGTTTTATAAAATCTGCACCTATAGTTTTAAGAGGCAAATGTTCTTTATTTGATAAAGGATTATCAGATTATATTAATTTAATATGGATTTTTAAAATTCTTAGAGAAAATTATATCTATTCCCTTAATTTACTAATTTTTCAATATCTATAGCGTTTCTTCTCTTTAAGTTGCATTCCTGTAAGGAGGATTGAGAGATGGGGATGGTAGGGGTTATAGGGCAAGGACATATTAAATACTTTGTAGTCATTATTATTCTGAAGATTGAAAACACATTATAATTTTATACTGTAATTTTTGACTTCTGTGAAGTTATGAAAGAAAACATTTGATTTGTATATTGAAATGTAAACCATCAGATTATTTGAGACTGACTTCCCAGTTGATTCCATTTATAATAACTCATTTTATTTGGACCACTTCACCTTTTCTCAGGAAATGAGGAGATTAAATGAAAATAATTTCCCATAAAAAAACTAATAACTCTAATATGTAATGTTTAAATCTGGCTTTCTTTTTATATAATAGTTATTTTATTTTTGCATTTCCCTGATAACTTGGGGGGGAATACAGGTTTTACAATCATCAAATTTTATGTTTTTGAAATTTTATTGAAAATAAATTATACTCTGTAGATAAAACAGTCGTTAAATTAGATGGTGCGTGCGTTAAGTGCTGACAAGGATTTGGAGCAACTGGCACGTTCAGATCTTGCTGCTAGCAATGCAGAATGGTACTACTCTTCTGAGAGTTTTGTAGATTTTTAGAAAGTTAAATGTGTTTACCATATGACTCAGTAGTCCCACTGTTAGGTATTTGTACTACAGAGATGAAGCTTATATTCACACAAAAACCTGTACACAAGTGTTCATAACAGTTTTATTTCATACTTCCAAAGCGGAAAATAACCTAAATGCCCTTCAGCTGGTCAATGGATCAACAAACTGCTACAGTCTCTACAATATAATACCACTCAATGGCAAAAGGATCAAATTATTAATATATGTAACAACTTGGATGAATTTCAAAAACCTAGTGACACAAGCCAGTCTCAAAAGGTAGCATTCTATGTGATTCCATTTATTTGACAAAAGGATAGCATAAGGGACTTTTTGGGGATGACAGAACTGTTCTATATCCTGATTTTGGTGGTTAACTTAATCTGTACATATGTTGAATTTTATACAACTGTAGACCCCCAGAAAAGGTTTTTTTTTTTTTTGTATGATAATTTTAAAAAAAAACCCACAGGTGTACCTCCTTTTATTGTGCTTTGCTCTATTGTGCCTCGCAGATACCGTTTTTTCACAAATTGAAGGTTTGTGATAACCTTGCATCAAGAAAGTTTATCAGTGCCGTTTTTCCAACAACACATGCTCATTTCATGTCTCCATGTCACATTTTTGTAATTCTTGCAATATTTCAAACTTTTTCATTATTATATCTGTTAAGGTAATCTGTGATCAGAGATCTTTGATATTACAATTGTAATTGTTTTGGGGATGCCACACATGGCATCCGTATCAGATGGCAAACTTAAATGATAAACATTGTGTGTGTTCTGACTACTCTGTGGACCAGCTGTTCCCTGTCTCTGTCCCCCTCCTCGGGCCTCCCTATTTGCTGAGACACACAATATTGAAATTAGGTCAATTAATAACCCTACAATGGCCTCTGAACATGCAAGTGAAAGGAAGAGCCTCATATCTCTCACCTTGAACCAAAAGCTATAGAAATGGTGAAGCTTAGGGAGGAAGGCCAAAAGCTGGGCCTCTTGGCGCCAGTTAGCTAAGTTGTGACTGCAAAGGAAAAGTTCTTAAAGGAAATTAAAAGTACTGCTCCAATGAATACACAAATGATAAGAAAATGGAACAGCCTTATTGCTGATGTGGAGAAGGTTTTAAAGATCTGGATAGAAGATCAAACAGCCACACCATCCCTTAAGGCCAAGCCTAATCCAGAGCAAGACCCTAACTCTCTTCAGTTCTGTGAATGCTGAGAGGTGAGGAAGCTGCAGAAGAACATTTTGAAGCTAGGAGAGGCTGGTTCATGAGGTTTAAGAAAAGAAACTTTGTCCATAACATGAAAGTGCAAGGTGAAGCAACAAGTGCTGATATAGAAGCTACAGCAAGTTATCTAGAAGATTTAGCTAAGGTTTTTGATGAAGGTTGCTACACTAAGCAACAGATTTTCAATGTAGATGAAACAACCTTCTACTAGAAGAAGATGCTATCTAGAACTTTCCCAGCTAAAAAGAAGTCAGTGCCTGGCTTCAAAGGACAGGCTGACTCTTTTATTAGGGGCTAATGCAGCTGGGGACTTTTAAGTTAAAGCCAATGCTCATTTACCATTCCAAAAAATCCTGCAGCCCTTAACAATTATGCTAAATCTATTCTGCCTGTTCTCTGTAAATGAAGCAACAAAGCCTGGATGACAACAGGTGTTCACAGTATGGCTTACTGAATTGAATATTTTAAGCCCACTGTTGAGATTTCTGGTCAGAACAAGAGTCCTTTTAATATGGTACTGCTTATTGACAAGACACCTGGTTACCCAAGAGCTCTGATGGAGATGTACTAGGAGATTAATACTGTTTTTATGTGTGCTAACGTAACATCTATTCTGCAGCCTGTAGATTAAGGAGTAATTTCTACTTTCAAGTCTTATTATTTAAGAAATGCATTTCATAAGGCTATAGCTGCCATAGGTAGTGATTCCTCTGAGGCATCTGGACAAAGTCAGTTGAAACCCTGAAAAGGATTCACCATTCTAGATGCCATTAAGGACATTGATGATTTAGGGAGGAGATCAAAACATCAACATGTTTGGAAGAAGTAGCTTCCAAACCTCATGGATGACTTTGAGGGATTTAGAGAAGGAAGTAACTGCAGTTGTGGTAGAAATAGCAATGAAACTAGAATTAGAAGTGGAGCCTGAAGGGAAGACTGAATTGCTGCAATCTTATGATACAACTTTAATGGATGGAGGGGTTGCTGCTTATGGATGAGCAAAGAAACTGGTTTCTTGAGATGGGATCTACTGGTGAAGATGCTCTGAACATTTTTGGAATGTCAGTGTTCATTGTCAACAATATTTACTTAACAGAAATAAATTATTAAAATATATTGAGAAGTCTTTTCACTTTCAGAACTCTATGCTTTGTAGTTGTTACCTTGAATAGTTGTTAAAGCCATAGTTATGTTATATCCTTTCTAATTGGTAGAGAGATGGATGAAGATGGAGAAGGAATGACCTCTGTCAAGTTAAGAGTCTATAGCCTTAATGTTTCTTTAATGGCTTTTCCCATTTTATTTTTCCTTTGATTATTCCGTAGAGTATTTGGAACTTGTCTTTTTATTTTTATTTTTTAATTTTTTTTGAGACAGAGTCTCACTCTGTTGCCCAGGTTGGAGTGGAGTGGTGCAGTCTCAGCTCACTGCAACTTCTGCCTCCTGGGCTCCAGCGAGTCTCGTGCCTCAGCCTCCCGAGTAACTGGGATTACAGGCATGCACCACCATGCCTGGCTAATTTTTGTATTTTTAGTAGAGACAGGGTTTTGTCATATTGGCTGGGCTGGACTCGAACTCCTGGCCTCAGGTGACTCACCACCTCTGCCTCCCAAAGTGCTGGGATTATAGGTGTGAGCCACCGTGCCCAGCTCAAACTTGTCTTTTAACTAGATGAAAAAATTATTAAGCTATGGGAATGTCACTAATTTCACCTTGTGGCTACACCTAATGACAGGATGGCAGACACAAAGGTGTACAATAAGGATGTGGCTCATGGTGTTTGTGTATTTCATCTTGTATTCTTGCCCTTCCCATTCCATATCTTTTTTCTGTCTTTCATTTCTTTTGTATTTTTTTTAACTAATTTCAGCGAGGAAATGTAATATGTGTATATATACACATATAAGTTGCTTTTATGGGGTACAGTTTAAAAACCAGTTGAGAACAACATTTTCACATTTCCGTAAGACTTCATCGTATTGTTTTCATCAAATGGGAAATAAGGTCAGATAACTGTGGAACAAATATTTATGTAGTAGTCTCTCCTGACATAGTGAATATAACAGTGAGTCTGCTGAAAATTCTCTGCTTCATTAAGCTTACATTGTGATGCACTAATGGGTGGAGGTAGGTGCTATTACATTGTGAGGAATTGAGTCCCATCCTGATTTGTTTTCGACGTCTTAATTTTTGTCAAATTATAAAGCTTGTTGAATCCATTCAATTTTTTTGCCAGATTGATAGGGAATAATTATTTATTCAATTCTTCACGTATTCTTTACATTTATATCAAAATAGTATAGTGGCTTTGGCATTCCAAAATTAACAAAGAATGTGATAGTCATAGTAATAGTCATGTAACTTGGTGAGTAGAACATATATTCTGTTGTATTCATAGTTTAATAGTTTTTGACATGGTGAGTAGAACAAACCATTATTTGGCTAAAGAGTGTTTTTAGGAATTATATAAGAAGATAAAATGCTTACAAACAATTGGTATCAACTGATATTTAAGAAAATGCTCAGAGGCTGGGTGTGGTGGCTCATGCCTGTAATCAGAGGCACTTTGGGAGGCCAAGGAGAATGGGTCACTAGAGGTTAAGAGTTCGAGACCAGCCTGACCAACATGGTGAAACACCATCTCTACTAAAAATACAAAAATTAGCCGGTTGTGGTGGTGGGTGCCTGTAATCCCAGCTACTCGGGAGGCTGAGGGACGAGAATGCTTGAACCTGGGAGGTGGAGGTTGCAGTGAGTTGAGATGGTGCCACTGAACTCTGGCCTGGGTAACAGAGTGAGACTTCATCTCAAAAAAAAAAAAGGAAAAAGAAAATGCTTGGTAAGATATATGTCTTATTATCTTATTATTAAAAGTTGGCTCTTTTTTTTCCCCAGGAGAAACCTCAATTATTTTTCCAATGCTTATGCAGCTGCAGTTAGTGCGGTGGACCCTGATGCAGGAAATGGAGAACTTTGCATTAAGGTTCCATCAGAGCTGTGGAAACACGTTGATGGTAAAGCACCAAGAATATATTGACTGTATACTAAAATCATGTTAGATTCAGAGACTAGAGAATTTTACATGAAGACTAATGATGCTGGCCAGGCACGGTGCCTCATACCCGTAATCCCAGCACTTTGGGAGGCCAAGGTGGGCAGATCACCTAAGATTAGGAGTTCAAGACCAGCCTGGCCAACGTGGCAAAACCCCGTCTCTACTAAAAATACAAAAATTAGCCAGGCATGGTGGTGGGCGCCTGTAATCCCAGCTACTCAGGAGGCTGAGGCAGGAGAATTGCTTGAACCCAGGAGGTGGAGATTGCAGTAAGCTGAGATCACACCCCTGCACTCAAGCCTGTGCAACAGAGTGAGACTCCGTCTAATTAAAAAAAAAACAAACACCAATGATGTCAAAATTGTAAATTAACCAGTTGAAATATACAGAATGGGTTGGAAGCCCTTTTTCTTTTTAAGGATCACTGGCTAACAGGATAATATCAGTTCAGAGCTGTGAAAAAAGCAATTTATTTCACCGTTTTTTAAAGCAAAAAAAAAATTTTTTTTTTTTTTGAGACGGAGTTTTGCTCTCCTCACCCAGGGTGGAGTGTAATGGTGCAATCTTGGCTCACTGCAACCTCCGCCTCCCAAGTTCAAGCGATTCTCCTGCCGCAGCCACTGAGTAACTGGGATTACAGGCTCCTGCCACCACGCCTGGCTAATTTTTGTATTTTTAGAGGAGACGGGGTTTTACCATGTTGGCCAGACTAGTCTCGAACTCCTCACCTCAGGTGATCCGCCCGCTTTGGCCTCCCAAAGTGCTGGGATTACAGGGGTGAGCCACTGCCCCTGGCGGTGAAAAATATTTTTAAAAATCATGTAGATAGAACCATTTGTCAAGATTTGAGAACCTGCACAATATCAAATTAGTTTAGAATTATAGCATTTTGTAGCAGGAAAGATCCTGAAAAATCTGGTTCAATTCCTTCTTTTTACAGAAGAGTAATCTGAAGTCTAATGAGAGTGAGTAACCTGCTGAACTTCACTTAGCAAATTATTGGTGGAGTTAAAGCTAAAACACAGGGTTCCTGATACTCAGTCTGCAGACTTTTTAAACCTTCTTTGTGTCTTGTATAAAGTTTTAGCCACTGTAATATTGTACATTAGCTTCTGCCTTGCTTATTTAGCCTTATAAAAATCAAGATAAGGAAGTAAAAGACTTCTTGTTTTGTTTATTGCTTTATGTTGTGGGTGCTGGGGGTGGGATAGGGTTTGTGGAGGAACTTACCCTAATTTAGGGGACAGACGTGGAAGTCGTCATTGCCTTTTTAGTGTTTGGAGATAGTGCATATGATTGTAATGCTTGGAGGGAAATTAGAATCTTACAAAAGCAATGCAGTTTACAGTGAAGAAATCGAGTGTAACAAAATACATGATAATAATGCAAATTCTCGAGTAGTGTTCCCTACTCTACCTCTCATCCTTGTACTCCCCAAAGTCACCTAGGGTTAATTTTGCAGGAGAATGTAATAGGAGAAAGAACTTGAAAAGTAAGTGTGTTAGTCCGTTTTCATGCTGCTGATAAAAGACATACCTCAGACTAGGAAGAAAAAGAGGTTTAATGAACTTACAGTTCCGCATGGCTGGGGAGACCTCACAATCTTGGCAGAAGGCAAGTAGGAGCAAGTCATGTCTTCTGCAGATGGTGGCCAGCAAAAAGAGAGAGAGAGCTTGTGCAGGGAAACTCCCATTTTGAAAACCATCAGATCTTGTGACACTTATTCACTATCGTGAGAATAGCACGGGAAAGACTTGCCCCCGTGATTCAATTACCTCCTACCGGGTCCCTCCCATACCATGTGGGAGTTATGGGAGCTACAAGACTTGGGTGGGAACACAGAGCCAAACTGTATCAGTAAGTTTGGGATTGGATTTGGAAGGTGTAAGTGTGCAGTGTGGGAGTTTTGGACTTTTTAGGCATTGTACGTTGTCAGAAATGTTGAGAGGAGGATATGGCGTAACCAAAGGTGTATTTTGGGAAAATAATACAAGCAATAGTTATAATTGATTGGAGGTAGAAATACCAATAGTAGCAGCCTGTTGAGTTAATATAGGCAGACATATGGTAAAAGTCTAAACTAGGGTAAGTAGTGTGGTTTTTCATATAAATCTCAGTCCTCAATTCCATTTCATGTTCAGCATTAAATCTTTGTCTTTATTATATAGACCACTGTACTTATTTATGTATCAGTGTGTGTGTATGTTTATTTGTTGCAGAGTTAAAGGTCCTGAAGATACACATCAATTTTTCTCTGGATCAGCCCAAAGGAGGTCTTCATTTTGTGGTACCCAGTGTAGAGGGAAGTATGGCAGAGAGAGGTGCTCATGTTTTCTCTTGTGGGTATCAAAATTCTACAAGGTAGATTATAGATTCTTAAATATTTCAATTAATTTTTAAATTGCATTTTTTATGTATAAGCAAGGCATACATTTGGTGTAAAACAAGAAATACTAGTTTTATTCCCTCCCAAATTCAGAGTTCTTTCAAATTACTTTGTTAGTCATTCCTCCTAAAAAAAATTTTTTTTTTGAGACAGTCTTGCTCTGTCACCCTTGTTGGGGTGCGCTGGGGTGCTATCTCTGCTCACTGCAACCTCTACCTCCTAGGTTCAAGTGATTCTCGTGCCTCAGCCTCCCAAGTAGCTGGTATTACAGGTATTCACCACTACACCTGCCTAATTTTTTATATTTTTAGTAGAGATGGGATTTCACCATGTTGGCTAGGCTGGCCTTTAACTCCTGACCTCAACTGATCCGCCCACCTTGGCCTCCCAAAGTGCTGGGATTACAGGCATGAGCCACGGCACCCAGCCCTCCTTAATGTTACATCTCCCTTATTCTCTCTCATTTTCATGTTTACCATTCTAAAATAATCATCTCACTTGATTCCTTCTTTTTTAAAAACTTTATATTGAAGTAAAACATACATATAGAAAATTGCACAGAATGTAAACTTCGATGAATTTTCACAAGTGAACAAGCCCACATAATTTACACTTAGACCCAATATTACAAGCATTACAGAGACCTCTCACCTGCTTTCATTCTCTACTTCCCCACTTCACATTCTACTTCTCAACTCTGCTTATTTATTTATTTATTTATTTTTTGAAACAGAGTCTCATTCTGTTGGCCAGGCTGGAGTACAGTGGCATAATCTTGGCTCACTGCAACCCCCACCTCCTGGATTGCAGTGATTCTCCTGCCTAGCCTCCCAAGTAGCTGGGACTACAGGCATGTGCCACCACACCTGGCTAATTACTGTATTTTTAGTAGAGACGGGGTTTCCTCATGTCTTTAGTAGAGACAGCCTGTCGCACAGGCTGGAGTGCAGTGGCGCAATCTCGGCTCATACAGCCTCCACCTTCCAGGTTCAAGTGATCCTCCTGCCTCAGCCTCTGGAGTAGCTGGGATTACAAGCAGATGCATCATTCCTGGCTGATTTTTGCATTTTTAGTAGAGACAGGTTTCACCATGTTGGCCAGGCTGGTTTCAAACTCCTGACCTCAGTTAATCCACCGGCCTCAGCCTCCCATAGTGCTGGGATTACAGGCGTCAGCCACTGCGCCCAGCCTCTCCTCAGATTATTATAATAACTCCTCTAAACCAGGTATAATGTCTTATACACTTTTATGCCTCAATACTAAGTACCTACCCTGTCACATAACACCTTACCCGAATTGATGAAAGCTGACTATAAATTTTATATCTGGCTTTACCAGCACTTAGTTTGAATTTATACAATGCGTTACATACTTCAAAAAAGCAGTTTTATAATTTAATCAAATAAATTCTGAATATTCGTTATGCTTTATAAAACTTTTTACTGTAAGCCTTTTTTAGTTTCTAGAAATGAATGCTGCATAAAAACTGACTAATGTGCATATACAAGTTAAAATTATTTTTTAAAACATTGGAAACTAAGAATTGCTTAACTCTTTTTAGGGTTTGAACTGATGGTAACACATAATTTTTTTTTTAATGTTGCCAAATAGTATTTGGAAACAGATTTTATTTTATCAGATTTTTTTTAGGTTGTACAGTAAAAAGCTTCAGTAGCCAAATAGCTAAAGGTTTTGTTTGTTCATTTTCTAGAAATGCTAAAATAACTTGCATGTTGGGAAAGCAATGTAGGGGACACTTTGAATACATTTTCTATACTGTCAATCTTTTTTCTAGATTTTGGTTCCCTTGTGTTGATTCATACTCTGAATTGTGTACATGGAAATTAGAATTTACAGTAGATGCTGCAATGGTTGCTGTTTCTAATGGCGATTTGGTGGAGACAGTGTATACCCATGATATGAGGAAGAAAACTTTCCATTATATGCTTACCATTCCTACAGCAGCGTCAAATATCTCCTTGGCCATTGGACCATTTGAAATACTTGTAGATCCATACATGCATGAGGTAAGTCAGAGAGCTCTCCCCTCTTACTCTTCTCCTGGCCTTTTACTGCTTTTAAAAAGATGGATATTGACTGGGTGCAGTGGCTCACGCCTGTAATCCCAGCACTTTGGGAGGCCAAGGCATGCGGATCACGAGGTCGGGAGATCGATCCTGGCCAACACAGCAAAACCCGATCATTACTAAAAATACAAAAACTTAGCCAGGCATGGTGGTGGGCACCTGTAGTCCTAACTACTTGGGAGGCTGAGGCAGGAGAATGGCTTGAACCCGGGAGGCGGAGCTTGCATTGAGCTAAGATTGCGCCACTGCACTCCAGCCTGGGCAACAGCCTGAAACTCTGTCTCAAAAAATAAATAAATAAATAAGTTTCCTTATCTGATATATATAATGATGTGAATTCTTGAATGAATTTCTTTTAAAATGTTGTATTTAAATTTCAGATTATTTTCCAACAGAGTCTTAGCATTTCAAAAGAGCTTCAGTTATTTAGAGTATAAGTTGATTTCTGTAACTAATTCTGTTCATTACTAATGTCATCTTTTTGTTTATCATGTTTTTGAATGTTGTGGTCCCATCTCTGGTATGTAAAATATTGTAAATTCAAAATTAAAGAGGAAGATTTATTCTCTCTTCAACCTATACAGAGGAAAATAGACAGTTAGAAACCCAGTTAGCATACTCAGGAAGACTTCTAGTTTCTTCCCAGCACATATCTTATCATAATTCATTTATCAATTGACAGGCCAAATAGCAGTTTTAGGCCTCCGCAAGCATGAGACTTCTGCTGATTAGAAAATGATTTATTAGTTGTTACCTCTCTTCTTTAGTCTTAACTTAGGTTTTTTTTTTTTTTTTTTTTAAAGAAATATATAAACATGTAATTTGACCATGTATATCTCAACAGCATTTCTTTTAGTCATGTGAATAAAAATTGAGGGCAGCAGGCTTTCAATGAGCTCCTCAGTTTGCCTTTTATATTTTCTTTGCTGAAATTCACAGGATTTGTAAAATCACTCATGGAAAAGATTCAGGATATTTTGTGTTGGTTTTGCTTATGTTGTCTTAACAATGACTCTTTTGGGGAGGGGGGAGGGATTGCATTGGGAGTTATACCTGATGTAAATGACGAGTTGATGGGTGCAGCACAGCAACATGGCACAAGTATACATATGTAACAAACCTGCACGTTATGCACATGTACCCTACAACTTAAAGTATAATAATAATAAATAAATTAAAAAAAAAAAAAAAAAAACAATGACTCTTTTGAAAGGTTTATCCACTGATAAGATTGGCAGTGAACTTTATTGTCTTTGGTAACTTTAAAATCAATGTTTGATTAGTACCTATTTTGTATTTCAGAAGAATTTTTTCCTACTCTGAGTTATTGAATAGGAACAAGGCAAATGATAGTCAAGAATTGTTTTTCCTGACTTAGTCTTTCTCTGTGTCAAATACATGAGTTGTTACCTGCATTATCAGTAAATTTGCTGTCTTGTAGGTTTGTCTAAAAATGAGTCCTTTTTCTGATGAATAGTATTTTTTATTTGCATACACAAATAAAATTATGATTAAATATCATGATTAATACAAAGGGAATGTTAATCATGATACTGTTTTGGGCCCTGATCATTAATAATACATAGATACTTTTCTCCACTCTTATGGTAGCCTCTAATCTGTTCTTTTAAATGTTATTAGAAGAATAATTTTTATGATAAATTAAAAACTTCCCTTGCCTTTATAATTCTGCAGTAATTAGAACTCTTTAGCATGGCTTTCAAGATCTTCTGTAATTTGACCCTAATAGATGTTATAGTCAAAATAGTTTACTTAGACTTCTCTGATCGTACCTTTTTTCTTCCCATCTTTGACTCTGGGATGTTCCCTTTTCCTATACCAAAAATTCCCTATCAAACTTCTGTTGAACTCAAAAAGATTACAATGGCTTCACACTCCTGCGTGAAACCTTACATGGTTGTTCTAGTCAGTGATCTGTGTCATTGTTGATGGCACTCATGTGGCACAGTATCGGGGGAACCAGCCCCCAGTATTTCAGTGTAGGTTCTTTTCTATTTTCCCTAAGTGTCAGCTGGTCTGAGAAATAAAGAGAAAGCGTACAAAAGAGACAAATTTTACAACTGGGCCTCTGGGGATGACATCACCTATTGGTAGGTTCCATGATGCCCCTTGAGCTGCAAAACCAGGAAGTTTTTATTAGGGATTTCAAAAGGGGAAGGGGGTACAAACAGGGAGTAAGTCACAAAGATGACATGCTTCAAAGGGCAATAAAAGATCACAAGGGTAGAAGGACAGAGCAAGATCACAAGGCCAGGGTGAAATTAGAATTACTGATGAGGTTCCATGTCCTGTTGGGCACGCATTGGCACTGATAAACATCTTAACAGGAAACAGGGTTCGAGAGCAGACAACTGGTCTGACTAGAATTTGCCAGGCTGGAATTTCCTAATCCTAGCAAGCCTGAGGGTACTGCAGGAGACTAGGGCGTATTTCATCCCTTATCATCAACCGCATAAGACAGACACTCCTAGAGTGGCCATTTAGAGGCCTCCCCCTGGGAATGCATTCCTTTCCCAGGGTTATTCCTTACTGGGGAAAGAATTCCGCGATATTTCTCTTATTTGCTTTCTGCAAGAAGAGAAATATGACTTTGTTCTGCCCGGCCCCACAGGCAGTCAGACTTTATGGTTATCTCCCTTGTTCCCTGGAAATTGCTGTTACCCTGTTCCTTTTTAGGATACCAAGATTTCATATTGTTCAAACACACATGTTTTACAAACAATCTGTGCAGATAATGCAATCATCACAGGGTCCTGAGGCGACATACATCCTCAGCTTACGAAGATGACGGGATTAAGAGATTAAAGACAGGCATAGGAAATTTAAGAGTATTGATTGAGGAAGTGATAAATGTCCACGAAATTTTCACAGTTTATGTTCAGAGATTGCAGTAAAGACAGGCGTAAGAAATTATAAAAGTATTAATTTGGGGAACTAATAAATGTCCATGAAATCTTCACAATTTATGTTCTTCTGCCGTGGCTTCAGCCAGTCTGTCCGTTCAGGGTCCCTGACTTCCTGCAACAGCACAGATCACAGTAAGAGATAGCATACAATAATTGTGTGACCAAAGTGAGATGTAACCTAATGAAAAAAACCAGAGTTACTATTTCTGTTGCAGGCATTTTTTAATCTCCTAACTGCCATTAAGTTTTTCTGCAGTTTTTGGTATGTAATTGAAATATTAGAGGGGGACTACAGTAATTATTTTTTATATGCAGATAATATGATTAACATTAACAGTTGATAAGATGCATTATTATAACATGCATTATTCACTAGATTAGATATTTATGAATAAGAAGTATGTTTATAATACGCCTTTGAAATTTAAATCTTTCTTATTATGTGTACATATGAGAAAAAATTTTAATTGAATTTGGAACCAGAGTTATATTTTAGTTGGTCTAAGCATTCCACAGACTTATAATACACCATGAATTTAATTTTTAAGTACAATTAATATTTTATAAATGTGATCAGTAAAAGTAATCACTATTTTCACATTTTCTTTCAGCATCTTGAAATTATTAAAGAATAGATTTATAGGGCCGGGCGCGGTGGCTCAAGCCTGTAATCCCAGCACTTTGGGAGGCCGAGACGGGCGGATCACGAGGTCAGGAGATCGAGACCATCCTGGCTAACACGGTGAAACCCCATCTCTACTAAAAAATACAAAAAACTAGCCGGGCGAAGTGGCGGGCGCCTGTGGTCCCAGCTACTCGGGAGGCTGAGGCAGGAGAATGGTGTAAACCCAGGAGGCGGAGCTTGCAGTGAGCTGAGATCCGGCCACTGCACTCCAGCCTGGGCGACAGAGCCAGACTCAGTCTCAAAAAAAAAAAAAAAAAAAAAAAAAAAAAAAAAAAAAGAATAGATTTATGAGAACATTTATTTATAATTGAGATATTTAGGAAATTTACAATATTAAAGGTAACTGTTTCATTTAGATGATCTTCCTTGCTTCTTCTTTTCAGGTTACTCATTTTTGTTTGCCCCAACTTCTTCCATTGCTGAAACATACCACATCATACCTTCATGAAGTCTTTGAATTTTATGAAGAAATTCTTACGTGTCGATACCCATACTCCTGTTTTAAGACTGTCTTCATTGATGAGGCTTATGTTGAAGTGGCTGCTTATGCTTCCATGAGCATTTTTAGGTTGGTATCTCTTCATATTTGAAATGCCTAAATTAAGGTAATGATATGAAGAAAAGTTACTGATTTTGTGGTCAATTTTAAGACGAGCTTTGACCTTTTTTCTCCAATTTAAATGTGATTGGCTTTGTAGAAAATTTGGTTTTTCAAATTTGTAAATGTAGAAAAACATGAAGACAAGAATTTTGAGATAACTCAAAAGGCTCATCTTCATCCAGAATTAACTAATATTAATATTTTCCCCATTTTAGTCTTGTTTTCGTGAATTCTTTAAAAATTGTACAAATTATTGTATGACTAGTATGAATTTTTTTCTAGCACTATTTAAAAATGTACTGATATTGTCAGAAATTTACTGATATCATCAGTGGAAAATGTTGTGTTCTTTGTTTTGAGCAAAAGTTACTAAGATGAGGAATTTTAACTAAATTTTGAAAAGATTAGAAAGCTGGGATAATTTTTTTTTCTATTTTATATCTAACTTCTGTTGTTTTAAAAGTGGAATTATTTTATTTTCACTGAATAAGTATTTATTTCTTGGTTATAATGAGCTTTCTTCTCTTTTAAATTCCAGCACGAATCTTTTACACAGTGCCATGATTATAGATGAGACACCTTTGACTAGAAGGTGTTTAGCCCAGTCCTTGGCCCAGCAGTTTTTTGGATGTTTCATATCTAGAATGTCTTGGTGAGTAACCTGAAAGTTCATACTACTGAGAAAAGAATCAAGTTTATTTTTCTTTTCTTTTCCTGCATTTAAGCTGACCTTTGCCCTAATTGCAGATAGCTAGTTTAAGAGACACTGTTCTAGATGTATTTAAAGAAAAATGATTGTAAGTTTCATCCTAACTTTTTGGACATGAAATCAATATAATCACTTCTGTGGTTTATAAGGTAAGATTTTGGTAAGACGGTGTCTTAAAGAACCAAATGAATTCTGTAAATAAAAGAACATAAATGTACAGAAAACTGTTGTTAGAATTTTGATGTCAGTGTTCAAAGCAATTGGAAATAACTTAATATTTAATGTAAAATAGTGCTCCTCTGCAGTATTAATAATTATTTAGGGATTTGCCTACTATTGCTCAGCTTTGTACCAGTTTGTTGAAAGAAATGAAAGGTATAAATGCTCTTTCTTTTCTTTTTTATTAACTTGAGGATGATTTAGAAGATAACAGAAAAATTAAGATTATAATTGTGAACATTCTATACTATATAGAGTATATAAATCTTGGTTTTCTTTTTTCGCCTGCTGGAGTGGAGAGGGCAGAGGCTAAACATAGATCTCTTGATTTGTAATTTTCCTAAATCCACATGTAGAAGTTTCATTAAAGAATAGTGCTTGGAACGTAGTAGGCAAAATATGGGTGGCTGGCTGGATGTATGGATGGATGGATGGGGTGGGTGGATGGATAGATGGATGAGTATACAAATGACTAAATGAGTGAGTGATGTTAATTGCCATTTTTCTAGAGAAAGCAACAAAAATGAATGAAGCAATTAAACTTTAGGTTTTAGAATGTCATTATTAATGGCATAATGCATGGGATTGACAATAATAGCATGTGGACTTTTAGAATTCAACAGTATAGTCCTGACTATGAGCAAGTATTTCCCTAGAGGCAAAGACAGTAAGAACAGAGTTGGGCAGGAGGGAAGCAGCACTGTCAGAGTAGAACATATACTCTAGTAATTTATACCTGAAGCAAGACTGTAAAGCAGTCTCATAATTAATGGTAAAGGCAGGTGTGAATAAGGTATAATGAATGGGCAAGCAGAACTCAGCCAGAGGAAGTTGGGGAACCTAATGATTTGTTAATAATTTTCATTTTCTTTATGAAGGCAGGGAAATACACACTACACTTATTCCATTATCCTCTTCGACATTTTCTGAGGAGTTTTTATGATTAAAAGTAATCTGTACTTTGACTTTTTGCTCAGGTCTGATGAATGGGTGCTGAAGGGAATTTCAGGCTATATCTATGGACTTTGGATGAAAAAAACTTTTGGTGTTAATGAATACCGCCATTGGATTAAAGAGGTAATGACAGCTAGATCCCTCATCCACTTACAAGTCAGTAAGACTGTTAATGTTCTCCTGATTTCCAGGTCTCATGTCCTCCATTTTTAATGACTGTAAAATACTTCAAAATACTACTTGAAAATCCCTAATTTTTCCCAGCAAAATGGGAATCGATTTACTGAGAAAGACTAATGGTCTATTTTATCTAATCTCCATTGTCAACATTGGCCCCTAAAAACATTTTTTCCTCTATGGAAGAGAATATTTAAGTTCCTTAAACATCAGATTGGTTGTTAGGTATGTCCCAGCTCCTTTTAGTAGTCATTTGTAATTGTGCTTCCTAAATTTGTTTAGCTTTGTGACCTTAATCTTTCCAAGTCTCATCTGTTTCTTGAGGGCAGTCGTAGTGTCTGCCCATGGGCAGAGATTATTAGACATTATACATGTAATGTGCATGATGCTTTGCACATATTAACTGCTTATATTCTGGCTAGGCCTTGAATGCATTTTTGTGTTGTCATTTCATGTCTTTTTTTTTTTTTTTTTTTTAACAATTTAAAGATTTGGCCAAAAATATAACATCAATTGTATTTTACTTAGCACATTCTGGTCATATACATAAACATTTTAATCATATCATGCTTAGTGTCTTCCTTCTCAGATGGAAAAATTGCAGCCTTTAATATCTTTATTAAACAAACCTTATCATCTTCCCCTTATTCTCATTTTACATATTATTATCATCCAAGAGTAAACTCAAGCCAAAAAGTTAATTTTCGAATACTTTAAACATCTAGAGCTATTAAGGTATTTGTACATCTATAACTGAAGGAGTCTCTTCTTTATTTCAGAAACTATTAAAGAAGAAGAACAGAATAACACAACACTTAAAATGTTTCAGGCACTGTTACCAATGTTTTATAAATATTAATGAACCTAATTCTCCTAACTACCTTGCTATTATTCCCATTTTATAGTTGAAGAAACTGAGGCACAGAAAGAAAGGTTAAATTATGTGGTCAAAGTATACAGCTAGTAAGTAGTAGGCCCAGGATTCTAGCTTGGCTTTTAGTTTCTTCCCTATGCTGTTTGCCACTTTTCTATACTACATCTATATTATTTAAAGCAGTTATGAGTTTCCAATGTTGCAGGAAGTCAGGGACCCCGAATGGAGGGACCGACTGGAGCTGCAGCAGAGGAACATAAATTGTGAAGATTTCATTTTAATATGGACATTTATCAGTTCCCAAATAATACTTTTATAATTTCTTATGCCTGTCTTTACTTTAATCTGTTAATCCTGTTATCTTCATAAGCTGAGGATGTACGTCACCTCAGGACCACTGTGATAATTGTGTTAACTGTACAAATTGATTGTGAAACCTGTGTTTGAACAAAATGAAATCAGTGCACCTTGAAAAAGAACAGAATAACAGTGATTTTTTAGGGAACAAGGGAAGACAACCATAAGGTGTGACTGCCTGTGGGGTCGGGCAAAAAGAGCCATATTTTTATTCTTGCAGAGAGCCTATAAACAGACATGCAAGTAGGGAAGGTATCACTAAATTCTTTTTGTAGCAAGGAATATTAATATTAATACCCTGGGAAAGGAATGCATTCCTGTGGGGGGAGGTCTATAAACGGCCACTCTGGGAACGTCTATCTTATGTGGTTGAGATAAGGACTGGGATATGCCCTGGTCTCCTGCAGGACCCCCAGGCTTACTAGGGTGGGGAAAAATTCCGCCCTGGTAAATTTTGTCAGACTGGTTCTCTGTTCTCGGACCCTGTTTTCTCTTATTTAAGATGTTTATCAAGACAATACATGCACTGCTGAGCGTAGACCCTTATCAGTAGTTCTGCTTTTGCCCTTTGCCTTGTGACCTTTGTTGGACCCTTATCAGTAGTTCTGCTTTTGCCTTTTGTGCTATTCCCTCAGAAGCATATGATCTTTGTTAGACCCTTACTAGCCTTTTGCCCTTTGACGCATGTGATCTTTGTACCTACTCCCTGTTCTTACACTCCCTCCCCTTTTAAAACCCTTAATAAAAACTTGCTGGTCTGAGACTCAGGTCGGCATCATAGTCCTACTGATATGTGATGTCACCCTCGGCGGCCCAGCTGTAAAATTCTTCTCTTTATACTGTCTCTCTTTATTTCTCAGCCGGCCGACACTTACGGAAAATAGAAAGAACCTATGTTGAAATATTGAAGGCGGGTTCCCCCAATATTCCAGCACAATTGTGGTAGTGTTTTTTTTTCACTTATGCTTTTCTTTTTTTTTGAGACGGAGTCTCACTCTGTTGCCCAGGCTGTAGTGCAGTGGCACAATCTTGGCGTCTGGGTTTAAGTGATTCTTCTACCTTAGCCTCCTGAGAGCTGGAATTATAGGCACCTGCCATCATGCCCGGCTAATTGTTTGTATTTTTAGTAGAGACGTGGTTTTACCATGTTGGCCAGGATGGTCTCGAACTCCTGACCTCATGATCCACTCGCCTCAGCTTCCCGAAGTGCTGGGATGGATTACAGGTGTGAGCCACTGTGCCCACCTTCACTTATGCTTTTTTTTTATTTTAATTAACCAGGCATGGTGGCATGTGCCTGTAGTTCCAGCTTCTTGGAAGGCTGAGGTGGGAGGATCACCTAAGCCAAGGTGGTTAAGGCTGCGGTAAGCCATAATCAGCTACTGAACTCCAGCCTGGGTTACAGAGTAAAACCCTGTCTCAAAACAAAACAAAAAACAACCCCCTGCACCCTGCTTTTTTTTTTCTGTTTAAAAAAAAATCCCTTTTTTTAAAGTTCGATTTATGTCATGTTAGAGAAGACTGGAGAAGTTTAAAATGATGGATTCCTGACATAATTTATTCCCATTCCTTTTTACTCGCCTGAATTCCTTGAAGCAAAATACAGAGAAGGAAAAAATAAACTTGGAGACGGCTCAGAGAGATTGAGAACAGCCATAAGAAAAAGTTGCCAGGCTGCTGTCCAGCCCTGAAGTCACAAAGTAGGGAAGTCTTTGGCTTTTGTCATTCTGCCAGCTACATGGGCTGCTTTATTTATAAGAACATAAACTACTCTTTAAATACATTTCACTTATTTTAAGAAATTTACATCTGATTTTAGGAAATGAGAATTCAGTTTAATTCTAAAATTTGGTATGTAAAAAAATGTTACTTTACAAATTTTACTGACTCCTATTTTTATATATTTTTTAGGAGCTAGACAGAATTGTGGCATATGAACTGAAAACTGGTGGAGTTTTACTACATCCCATATTTGGTGGAGGAAAAGAGAAGGATAAGTATGTTTATTGTTCAGAGATGATATTATAAATCTTGACTATATATGAAAATTATTTCATTTAAGAGCTAAATAGTATTTCATTGTACCTCAGAATTTAACCTTTTTGTTTATTGCTGTCCTTTGCTAAAGCTTACAAACTCATAAAGCTCTTAAGGTTGGAAGTAATAAGTAAAATATAAAAATAATTTTTAAAATGTCAGATTGATTAAAGTATTTTAAGTTTTAATATGCCACATTTAAAAAAAAATTTTATTGTTTTTTTAAGTGAGATCTCACATTGTTACCCAGGCTGATCTCAAACTCTTGGGCTCAAGCAATCCTCCTGCCTTAACCAATATGCTACATTTTGAAGGAGATGTGTGATACCACTTGCCATAGTTTGTTTATGCTACTATAACAAAGTACCACAGACTGGGCAATAATATAAACAATAGAAATTTACTTCTTGTTCTGAAGGCTGGGAAGTTCCAGATTGAGGCACTGGGAGGATTGGTGTCTGGTGAGGGCTGCTCTCCGCACCTAGTTGGCACCTAGTCGCTGCGTCCTCCAGCGGGGAAGAATGTTGTGTCCTCACAAGGTGGAAGGGATGGCAGGGCAAGAGAACACTCCCTTCAGCCTGGAGCCTTTTTATGAGGGCGCTAATCCCATTTATGAGGGTAGATCCCTGATGACTTAATCACATCCCAAAGGCCACCCCTCTTAAAACTGTTGCATTGGGATTTAAGTTTCAATATGAATTTTGGAGGGGGCACCATCATTCAAACAAACCATAGCACCACTCGTACACTGTGAGAGTATAGTTCAATACAGTGTTTCTGATGGGGAATTTAGTGTGGTACTAATCAGAATTGTACAATGGGTAATTTTTAGATGCAGCAATTCTTCTAGGTATGTGATCATGTAGATATTCTTGTGGCCCAGCATGGGAGCTTATGCCTGTAACCCCAGCACTTTGGGAGGCTGGGCAGGTGGACCACCAGAGTTCAGGAGTTTGACACCAGCCTGGCCAACATGACAAAACCCCATCTCTACCAAAAAATACAAAAATTAGCCAGGCATGGTGGCGGGTGCCTGGTCCGAACTACTCCGGAGGCTGAGGCAAGAGAATCGCTTGAACCCAGGAGGCAGAGGTTGCAGTGAGCCTAGATTGTGCCACTGCACTTCGACCTGGGGACAAGAGGGAGACTCTATCCGCTCCCCCCCCAAAAAGAAATTCTTCTTCTAGGCATTTATCATACAGAAATATTTGCACATGTGTAAAAAGATATTCACCATAGCATTATTTTGTCTAGTGATAATTTGTAAACAACTTAAATGTTCATGTATGTCATAAATATTTTCTAGACTATCTTTCTCTAAATGTATGATCCTTTTCATTATGTCAAAAATTTTTATTTTTACATAGTCATTGTGGTCTTTATATCTTCCAGATTTTATATTTTTTCTTAGGAAAGTTTTTCCCATTCCAAAATTATAAAGAGAAATTTTTTCCTTCATTTCTTTTAGTACTTTTTTAATGGTTTTTGTTTTATATATATAATCAATCCTTAATATACATTTGTGCATGCTTCAGTGTTGGGATATTTATTGGAATTGCATTGATCGTATTGACAAATTTGGGGAGAATGCAAGTATTTACAGTATTGTATCTTCCCATCTAGGAGCTTGCTATTTGTTTCTTTTTATTCAGATTTTCCTTTATGTCCTTAAGTAAAACTTCATAATTTTCTTCCAGTTAAGTTTATTTTTAAATGTTTCTTAGTACTAAGGAAATTGTTTATATATTCCCATGAGGTTTTTTTGGGTATTTTCTTGATGTGGTCATGAAATTTATTGTTTATTAATAGTCAAATTTGCTGTATTAGGTAAATGTGTTTATTTTTTTTAGTCCAGCTTCCCATCTACACTTTTCAATAAAGCATCCACATACGCTGTCCTGGGAATACTACACTATGTTTCAGTGTAAAGCCCACCTTGTGATGAGATTGATTGAAAATAGGATCAGTATGGAATTTATGCTACAGGTAAGTATTAAAGTTAAGAACTTAACAATGGTAAATAAATATCTGTATGTGTGCAACCTGAATATGTTTCTGTAGAATAGGAGTCAGGACATCTGGATATATAGTTTTGTCTGCCCACTAAGCAACCTGTGCTTTATATTTGCATTTCCTCAGATGTAGAATGGATATCAATACCAGAACAACTTAGCACATGATTTTTATGAAGACAGAATGTAGTGGTTGGGCATGGCATCTCATGCCTATAATCCCAGCACTTTGGGAGGCTGAGGTGGGATGATTGCTTGAGGCCAGGTGTTAGAGACTAGCCTGGGCAATGTAATAAGACCCCATCTAAAAAAAATTTATATTACAAAGTCAGGCATAGTGGCATGATTCTGTAGTCCCACCTTCTTGGGAGGTGGAGGCAGGAGGATTGCTTGAGTCCAGGAGGTTGAAGCGGCAGTGAGCTATGACTGTGCCACTTCACACCAGCCTGGGCGACAGAGTGAGACTCTGTCTCAAGAGAAAAAAAAAATTAGAATTGTCGGGATGAAAGTAAAACATATCTATGCATATGAATTTGTGTTCTGCATTATATTAAGGATGAAATGCCACTTTAAACTGTTTTCGATAGAAAAATGTAAACCAATATAAAAAATGTTTGTTTTTGCTATTGCTAAATTTTGCCATATATTTTAAGCAAGTTTCAGTGTAAATAGTTGTGATTTAGTAGTTGAGAGTGGAAACCAAATGTTCAGCCATTTTTTTTCATTGATAACATTCTTAGAGGCAGGTAAAAAATATTTTTTTTAAAGCATTTTAAGTTTGCTATAAAGTTCAGTTTCTTTAATCTTTCTTTCACCTTGCCTTTTTTTTGGTTTGTTTTGTTTGTTTTTTGAGATAGGGTCTTACTGTGTTGCCCAGGCTGGAGTGCAGTGGTGCAGTCACGGCCCACTGCAGCCTTGATCTCCCAGGCTCAAGGGATCCTCTCATCTTTCTCAGCCTCCTGAGTTGCTGGGACTATAAGCATGCACCATCACCCCTGGCTAATTTTTGTATTGTTTGTAGAGATGGGGTTTCACCATGTTGCCCAGTCTGGTTTCAAACTCCTGGGCTCAAGCTACCCACCTACTTTGGTCTGTCAAAGTGCTGGGATTACAGGCATGAGCCACCGCACCCAGCCTTTAGAATGAAGAACAGAAACATTAAATGAGAGATGGTCCATAAAGAGCCACTCAGGCTTTGGAGTAGTATAAATCCTGATGAGTATCATTAACTTCTTAATTTCTAGCTTCTATGTAAACTCGTAACACAATAAATTATTGGTATTATGTAGGCACCAGCCCCACAGGGTTGGTGGGTTTTTCTCTCCGTGTGCAGAGACAAGAGATCATAGAAATAAAGACACAAGACCAAGAGATAAAAGACAGCTGGGCCTGAGGGACCACTACCACCAAGACGCGGAGACCAGTAGTGGCCCCGAATGCCTGGCTGTGCTGTTATTTGTTGGATACAAAGCAAAAGGGGGCAGGGTAAAGAGTGTGAGTCATCTCCAATGACTGATAAGGTCATGTGAGTCACATGTCCACCAGACAGGGGTCCCTTCCCTGTTAGGTAGCCAAGGCGGAGAGAGAGAGGACAGCTTACATCATTATTTCTTCTATGCTCTTTTCAGAAAAGTCAGAGACTTTAATACTTTCACTAATTTTGCTACTGCTATCTAGAGGGTGGAGCCAGGTGGGCGGAGCCAGGTGTACGGAATGGAACATGAAAGTGAAACAGGAGCATGACTGCTGAAGCACAGCATCACAGGGAGACGGTTAGGCCTCCGGATAACTGCGGGCGGGCCTGATGGATGTCAAGGCCCTCCACAAGAGGTGGTAGAGCAGAGTCTTCTCTAAACTCCCCCGGGGAAAGGGAGACTCCCTTTCCCAGTCTGCTAAGTAGCGGGTGCTTTTCCTTGGCACTGACGCCACTGCTAGACCATGGTCTGCTTGGTAGTAGGCGTCTTCCCAGACACTGGTGTTACCGCTAGATCAAGGAGCTCTCTAGTGGCCCTGTCCGGGCATGACAGAGGCTCACATTCTTGTCTTCTGGTCACTTCTCACTGTGCCCCTTCAGCTCCTATCTCTGTATGGCCTGGTTTTTCCTAGGTTATAATTGTAGAGCAAGGATTATTATAATATTGGAATAAAGAGTAATTGCTACAAACTAATGATTAATGATATTCATGTATAATCGTATCTATGATCTATATCTAGTATAACTATTCTTATTTTATCTATTTTCTTTATTATACTGGAACAGCTCATGCCCTTGGTCTCTTGCTTTGGCACCTGGGTGACTTGCCGCCCACAGTATTATATACTTACTGTAATTCTTAATGAACAGTATTATGCAGTATATCATTAACATTCAATAATGTTTATATGAAGAATGGTTTTGTATTCTGGCTGCTTATATCTTTGCATATTTCTGTTGCTGGTAGTCTTTAGAATAATCTATGTAATAGTGAAATTATTGTCTTCTATAATTGACTATAATAAAGTTATAGTGCGAAGTGAGTATTCTATATAATTGAAAAGAATCTGTTATATGAACTTACTAAATGATTTTATCCTTACAGGTTTTCAATAAACTGCTAAGTCTGGCTAGTACTGCTTCATCTCAGAAGTTCCAGTCACATATGTGGAGTCAGATGTTGGTTTCCACATCTGGGTTTTTGAAATCCATTTCAAATGTCTCTGGCAAAGATATTCAGCCGTTAATAAAGCAGTGGGTGTATCCTTTTCAATAGCAGTTCAACAAAGTGGGGAAGGGAATAAGGTATATGTGCAAGGGGAAGATGGAAGGAGAGGTTTGAGGGGGACTAAAGGAAGTATGAACTGTTTATATTTCTAAACAGTGGTAGAAATAATGATGAACTGTGGATTGTTTCATCTGAGATTCCTACTAGACATTAAGGTCCACACACGTATGTTTATATTTGTAAAGTTTGGCATATTTTAAAGTATTTTCTAGTGAGTAAAGACTATGTGAGTAAAAAAACTGGTTTGATGGTAGGATAGGTAAGCAATCTGCCAGAGAGGCCTGTAGAATTACTTGTGAGGTGCAGTAGTTTGGTGACTTGTGGATGTAGTTAGGGGTTGGCACAATTGGAGTGGTATCTTGGAATTTTGCAATTTTTGCATTTTTCACTTTATTATATTAATAACCTTGTATAGTGGTTCTGCTTCTTTCAAAACACAAATTTGTCAGTGTTTCAGAAATTTTATTTAAATCTGGGAAAGCATTTTTCACAAGTACTTTGAATACTTTGCGACCTGATTTACAGCAGAGTATGCTCTCAAACTTTGAACTGGTGGGAATGCACTTGAAAATTACTAATACCAAGATGGATAATTTATTTTGTTTAGTACATATTCACTTTTGTATGTAAAATTTCCTTTACAATTCTTCAGAGATCAGAGTGGAGTGGTAAAATTTTATGGAAGTTTTGCATTTAATAGAAAACGAAATGTCTTGGAATTGGAAATAAAACAGGACTATACATCTCCTGGAACTCAGAAATATGTGGTAAGTGTTTTTCCAAAATGGCCTTTGTACTGCTATCTCCTCAGTTTCAATAGAAGAGGGACTTAGGGATGGGTTACTACTTAGAAATTAATGAGATTTTGTTTGCAGAGGATAATTTGTGAAAACATTGGCTTTGTCAAAGAAGGGAAGTGGAGGTACAGAGATATCAGGGGACTCAGAATCTTCCAGTTGCCCTCTTTGGCACCAATTGCCTATCTAGGTCTCCAGATACTCATTTTGTGTAATATCATTTTATATCTTGATTTATATTTCTCTGTACACATAAGCATACATATTGGTATTTTTTAAATCACATCTCTGAACAGTGTGTTGTTTTTTTAAAAAGGGACCACTTAAAGTGACAGTGCAGGAGTTAGATGGATCCTTCAATCATACGCTGCAAATTGAAGAAAACAGCCTTAAACACGATATACCCTGCCATTCCAAAAGTAGAAGGTAGGCATTACATAATAACTATAAATTGAAGGGTAAACTACAAATCTCAGACTAAAATGCCAAAATAAAAATTCTGTTGTATACCTAATTTTTAAAAATTATACTTTAAGTTGTGGGATACATGTACAGAACGTGCAGGTTTGTTTCATAGGTATACACGTGCCATGGTGGTTTGCTGCACCCATCAACCCGTCATCTGCATTAGGTATATCTCCTAATGCTATTCCTCCCCTAGACCCCGACCGCCCAACAGGCCCTGGTGTGTGATGTTCCGCTGCCTGTGTCCTTGTGTTCTCATTGTTCAACTCCCACTTATGAGTGAGAACATGTGGTGTTTGGTTTTCTGTTCCTGTGTTAGTTTGCTGAGAATGATGGTTTCCAGCTTCATCCATGTCCCTGCAAAGGACATGAACTCATTCTTTTTTATGGCTGCATAGTATTCTATGGTATATATGTGCCACGTTTTCTTTATCCAGTTTATCATTGATGGGCATTTGGGTTGGTTCCCAGTCTTTGCTATTGTGAACAGTGCTGCGATAAACATATGTCCATGTGTCTTTATAGGAGAATGATTTATAATCCTTTGGGTAATACCCAGTAATGGGATTTCTGGGTCAAATGGTATTTCTGGTTCTAGATCCTTGAGGAATTGCCACACTGCCTTCCACAATAGTTGAACTAATTTACACTTCCACCAACAGTGTAAAAGCATTCCTATTTCTCCACATCCTCTCTAGCATCTGCTGTTTCCTGACTTTTTAATGATGGCCATTCTAACTGGCGTGAGATGGTATCTCATTATGGTTTTAATTTGCGTTTCTCTAATGACCAGTGATGATGAGCTTTTTTTCATGTTTGTTGCCGCATAAATGTCTTCTTTTGAGAAGTGTCTGTTCATATCCTTAACCCACTTTTGATGGGGTTGGTTTTTTTCTTGTAAGTTTAAGTTCCTTGTAGATTCTGGATATTAGCCCTTTGTCAGATGGATAGATTGCAAAAATTTTCTCCCATTCTGTAGGTTGCCTGTTCACTCTAATGGTAGCTTCTTTACCTGTGCAGAAGCTCTTTAGTTTCATTAGATCCCATTTGTCAATTTTGAATTTTGTTGCCAATACTTCTGGTGTTTTAGTCATAAAGCCTTTGCCCATGCCTATGTCCTGAATGGTATTACCTAGGTTTTCTTCTGGGGTTTTTGTGGTTTTAGGTATACCTAATTTTTTTAGACAGAGTCTTGCTCTGCCGCCCAGGCTGGAGTGCAGTGGCGTGATCTCAGCTCATTGCAATCTCCGCCTCCTGGTTCAAGCAATTCTCCTGCATCAGCCTCCTGAGTAGCAGGGATTACAGGCACCTGCCACCACCCCCTGCTACTTTTTGTATTTTTAGTAGTGACGGGGTTTCATCATGTTAACCAAGCTGGTCTTGAACTCCTGACCTCAGATGATCCGCCCACCTCGGCCTCCCAAAGTGCTGGGATTACGGGCATGAGCCACCATGCCCAGCCTATGTATACCTACTTTTTTAGGTAGAGAACATGCTATCAGATATCTTTTTTTCCTCATTTTACTTCCAGTTAGTATTACCAAACATTCTTTGTTTGCTTGCCTTCTTGATGACATTTTTATCTTTAGAATTAAATAACAATTTTTTAACATTTAGCTTTAAGAATCCTCATTTTGTTGGAAGGTAGAGGCTGAGGGGTGAGAATGGAAGTTCGGGTTTTTGGTACTAGAAAAAAATTCAAGACAAATAGGTTCATTCTTACTAGTCTTGTTGGATCAATACCTACAGGAAATATTAGAAAAAATGGTGATTGAAGGGAAAGAGCTCAATATGTCATGAAAAGCCTCTGCATCTTGCTGTGTCTTTTTTGCTTTTTTCTCTATATTATCATGCCCCTTCAGAATCTTCTCGATGTATTTCAAAGGCAAATTCCCACTTTTCTTTAATATATTTTTCAGTTACCACTTATTTGGCACAACAATTAGTATGTACTCTGAATAGTGAGAGATGAGAACATGTCTGTGCTTTGCTGGAGAAATACGAACTTTCAGGAACAGAAGTGTTATACTCATGACTGTGTTTAGTTCACTCAGATAGATGAGAGTGTCTGTTGACTTTGAAGTCCTTTAAAGAACTTGATTCTGAAATCTTACAGTCATTCTTACTCTGAGAAAATTCTTCCTTAAATCAGAGTGAGTTACTTATTTCTTTTTGTCCTATCTGCCTTGGAAATTGGTAACATTTGATTGCTATTCTCAGGTTTTTTTCTCTGTAATAACAGAATGTCATTTGAGTATTCTCTGGTATGAGGAACACAGGAAAACTTTTCTCCGTGCCTGTTTTTATTTGCCCTTCCCCAGTTAACATAAAAACAGTTGCTTTTGTTTTTGCTTATCTTGAATCTTGTGCATATTAATTGGTTCTACATATGATCAGTACTCTTACGATACTTTATTAGTTAATTCATGTAGGACAGAACTTTGCATATATGCAGCAGACAACTCAGAATTATTCGTTTCCCATTTCAAGCCTGATCCTTTTTCTATTTAAGAGTTTTCTTTACTGATATATCCCCTTTTCTATACAAAATTGCAGCACCAGTTCTTGGAATATATGTTTTAGGTTGACATTTTATTATATATTTATGCTTCTTGTTAACATTTGATCAGGAAAATAATTTGATATTTACTTGATTCCCACCAGCTTTTAAATAAACACTTTGTTCTATTTAAATTTTATTACATTTGATAGCCATTTTTCCTAAGGATAGCTTTCAATGTTGTGTGAAATCCTTTATTTGAACTTTAGCTGCTGTTAATCTCCATTCAGAATTAGAAATCTCACAGTTTTCTAACCTACTTTTTCTTAAACGTAGGAATAAAAAGAAAAAAATCCCACTGATGAATGGGGAGGAAGTTGACATGGATCTTTCTGCAATGGAGTAAGTTAGTTAACTTAAATATAAGGTTATAATTTTTCTGCATTCTCATTTGTCTACTTCATTATGCATATGTAAAAGCATGTAACTGTCCTCCAGATGAGTGCTTTAAAAAATTTTTTAATAGAAACCCTATGTTAAAACAGTTTATGTAAAATCATAACTAATCAAAGAGATAAAAGTAAGTCTGCAGAGCCTAGGTGAAATTAAGAGGAAATGCATTATGGTTGAGGGGTGGGCATAACTTTGACTAGGCAGCTTTCTTGTTCTCTCTTGGTGGCCTCTAGAGCAGTGCTCAAACTATAACGTGCATGTGAATCAGTTGGGGACCTTCCCAAAATGCAGTTTCTGATCCAGTACTACACTAGTGAGGCCTGATAGTTTGCATTACTCGTGAGCTCCCTGGTGATACTGATTCTTTGTCCTTAGGACAAAGGTCTGGGGTGCCTTAAGTCTCCCTATGCTTACGAAACAATTTAAAAACCACAGTTTTAAACTTTATGTGGTAATATTTATTGATTGACAGTGTTTTATTTTTAAATATGATACAGCTCAGACTTTCTGATTTTGCCCATTCTGTACCTGTATATTTTTTATAAAACCTCTGTAGTTATTTACTAACTTGATTGCCAGATTATCACTACTGTTTATATACAGATTATGTTCATTTGCCCTTCAAGATCAGTGTTAATTTTTTTTTTTTTTTTTTTTTTTTTTGAGGCAGAGTCTTGCTTGATTGCCCAGGCTGGAGTGCAGTGGCACCATCTTGGCTCACTGCATGCCTGGCTGCATGCCACCATGCCTGGCTAATTTTTGTATTGTTAGTAGATTTGGGGTTTTGCCATGTTGGCCAGGTTAGCCTTGAACTCCTGACCTCAAATGATCCACCAGCCTCGACCTCCCAAAGTGCTGGGATTACAGGCATGAGCCACTGCACCCAACTGAGATCAGTGTTAATTTGATTTTTTCATAGCAAGTACTTTGCCCGTAGTAAGCACGCAATATTTGCTGAATTTGAATTAATATTACAGATGGTGTTTGTTTTTTTTTTTTTTTTTTGAGACGGAGTCTTGCTGTGTCGCCCAGGCTGGAGTGCAGTGGCGCGATCTCGGCTCACTGCAAGCTACAGGTGGTGTTTTTTTCATGGAAGTGTTGACATAGACTAGATGTTTTAAACAGTGTTACTTTCAGAAATACATGCAAATAAATTTGTGATATGCCTCCAAATCAGATTTCAGAACTTGCTGTTTGAAAAAGGCAATCATGAGTCTAGTATTTTTAAAAGTTTTAAGTCAGCTGAACAAGAAATTCGTCTCATTCTTTTTTTCGCCTCATATAATTACAAATCAAAATCACCAAAATAATTTCAGATGGGAAGTAAGAGATTCAGTATCCTTTGTAAAAGACAATTAATATTTTCTTATTTTTGAATGTCCTTTTAACAAGATGGATATGGATCAGACATTGTGAGAAAGTTGATATATGTTAAACATTATGAGGAATTTGTCAGTGCAGTTTTAAAAAATGAATACAGTAAAACTCCAGGCAGTCTTGAATACTACATCTAAAAGGGAACCTGGTTAATAAATGCTTTGTATTTATTTTCTAAATATGTAGATTATAAGTTTAAAAATTAAATTAAAAATAAAATTATATTTTCTTTCAGTGCCGATTCCCCTTTGCTGTGGATAAGGATAGACCCAGACATGTCAGTATTGAGAAAGGTAGAATTTGAGCAAGCTGATTTTATGTGGCAGTATCAGCTCCGGTATGAGAGAGATGTTGTTGCACAGCAGGAATCCATTTTGGCTTTGGAAAAATTCCCTACTCCAGCATCTCGGCTTGCACTCACTGATATATTAGAACAAGAGCAGTGTTTCTACAGAGTAAGAATGTCAGCTTGCTTCTGTCTTGCAAAGGTGAGATTATATAAAGCATAAAGGAAATAAAGATGACTATTGTATATATTCTTTATATCTCTGAAAATAAATTAAAATTCACCTAGTCTTTAAATTTACTTGGTAGCTGATTCTTTGAAAGCTTTTGCCAAATGCTTTTAAATTAATAGGACTATTTTGAAAGAAACATGTTTTGACCTGAAAACAGATATGCAGAATAATTTTATAATTGTCAAAATGAAAAGTTAGAGATTTTAAAAATCAAAGATAATTTTCACCATTTTGTTGAATTGTCAACCACGTTTTTAAAGTGAAGAATATATTTGGTGAGCAATTTCTTGGTTTGAGTGATGTTTTACATTAAAGTACATGAAATCTCTGTGTGCGTGTGTGTGTGTGTGTGTGTGTATGTATTTTGTTTTTTTAAATAAAGACAAGATCTCACAATGTTGCCCAGAATGGTCGCAAACTCTTGGGCTTGAGTGATACTTCTGCCTCAGCCCCCGACACAGCTGGGATTACAGGCATGTGCTGCCATGTTCCACTGTATTCAATTGATTGATTAATCTTAATTATCCCACTGTAATAATTATTCACATTGATTTGAGTTTATAAATTGGCATTAGTGATAAGTAACTTAAAATGGTAAACTCTATAATATTCTAGAAAAGTTAATTAAGAAAACCAAATATGTTTCTTTAGATGCAAATTATCTGAAGGTAGAACAAATGGAAACCAGAAAAATGCAGACAAAATTTTGGCCAGGAATAATGTTTTCCAGGTATTTTTTAAAAACTTGATAGTAGGGCCGGGCGCGGTGGCTCAAGCCTGTAATCCTAGCACTTTGGGAGGCCGAGACGGGCGGATCACGAGGTCAGGAGTTCGAGACCATCCTGGCTAACACGGTGAAACCCCGTCTCTACTAAAAAATACAAAAAGCTAGCCGGGCGAGGTGGCGGGCACCTGTAGTCCCAGCTACTGGGGAGGCTGAGGCAGGAGAGTGGCGTAAACCCAGGAGGCGGAGCTTGCAGTGAGCTGAGATCTGGCCACTGCATTCCAGCCTGGGCGACAGGGCGAGACTCTGTCTCAAAAAAAAAAAAAAAAAAAAAAACTTGATAGTAGGTTCATTTTCCATTTAGTGATTCTTGCCTTCCTCACTGTTAAATCCATTTGTCCTATATTTCAACAAGTTTATAATGGTTTTGATTTCTTTTTAATGATAATAAGTGAGTAGTTTAATACCTATGTTCTCAGATATGTGAGAGAAAGCAGTGATTTTCTTTGATAAAACCATCTGCAGAGAATATAATTTCGTTGTTTCTATTAAGATCTTTGTGATCCCTGTATGCTAAAATCTTAGCAGGTCTATAAAATTGTAGAATATGTTGTTTAATCATAATTTCATTTTTTTGGGGCATGATTTTTATATACCCTAAAAATATCAATAGCAAGACATAGGGTAAAGCAAGATACGCTTTTGTAAAGCATGCTTGCAGGCTTAAATAGTAGCACTGCATTTGGCTTCTTGTTCAGTTAGGGTAGATTGAAAAACCTTATTTAAAATTCATGATGATGTTTCTGTCTGATGAGGTTAAAATATTACAATTATGTCTGTCTAAATGAATAAAGACAGACTATTCAAAATATGAGTCTTTTGCATACGTATTTTTCTAAAACGTAATACTGCCATTTAGAAATTAACTTGTAGAAAATAATTATAAGTACATGTAAGAATTATTTTGACCGAGTGCAGTGGCTCACGCCTGTAATTCTAACACTTTGGGAGTCCGAGGCAAGTGGATCACTTGAGGTCAATAGTTCAAAACCAGCCTGGCCAACATGGTGAAACCCCATCTCTACCAAAAATACAAAAATTAGCCAGGTGTGGTTGTGTGCACCTGTCGTCCCAGCTACTCAGGAGGCTGAGGAAGGAGAATCTCTGGAGCCCAGGAAAGCCCAGGACACAGCGGTTGCAGTGAGCTGTGATCATACCACTGCGCTTTAGCCTGAACGATAGAACAAGACTCCATCTCAAAAAAAAGGAAAAATAATTTTTTTTTTTTGGAGATGGAGTCTGTCACCCAGGGTGGAGTGTGATGGTGCCATCTTGACTCACTGCGACCTCCCCCTCCTGAATGAAGCAGTTCTCCCACATCAGCCTCCCAAAGTAGCTGGGATTACAGGCACCCGCCATCAAGCCCAGCTAATTGTTTTTGTATTTTTGTAGAGACGGGGTTTCACCATGTTGGCCAGGCTGGTTTTGAACTCCTGACCTCAGGTGATTCACCCTCTTCGGCCTCCCAAAGTGCTGGGATTACAGGTGTGAGCCACCATGCCCGGCTGGAAAAAGAATTTTTTTGCAGGGTGAGTTTGTATAGTTTCTTGGAAATGGTGATAAAATGCTAAATTGTTATAAATTTCTGAGAAGTGAAGTTGTTGAAAAACCAATGCAGTTATAGTATTGATAACTTTTAAGAAGCTGTTTTATTTAAAAGTATGTTTGCATTGGTAATGGAAATTACTTTGTTTTTTAATTATTTACAGATTGCAAATTCAATGGTGAGCACATGGACAGGACCACCAGCCATGAAGTCACTCTTTACTAGGATGTTTTGTTGTAAAAGTTGTCCAAACATTGTGAAAACAAATAACTTTATGAGCTTTCAAAGTTATTTTCTACAGAAGGTACAGTTTACTTTCTAATTTTCTCATGGTTTTTATATATCTCAGTTTAAGTTGGAGACTGTTCAAATAATAGGTGTATTTACTTTCTTTGCCTCTATTCTTTTTTTTTTTTTTTTTTTTTTTTGAGATGGAGTCTCGCTCTGTGGCCCAGGCTGGAGTGCAGTGGCGTGATCTCAGCTCACTGCAAGCTCCGCCTCCCAGGTTCACGCCATTCTCCTGCCTCAGCCTCCTGAATAGCTGGGACTACAGGCGCCCGCCACCACACCCAGCTCATTTTTTGTGTTTTTAGTAGAGACTGGGTTTTACCATGTTAGCCAGGATGGACTCGATCTCCTGACCTCGCAATCTGCCTGCCTTGGCCTCCTGAAGTGCTGGAATGACAGTCATGAGCCACCGCACCCGGCCTCTTTTTTTACTTTTAAACTTTTTTCCAAACTGATTAAGTGATTATTGATTTTGTGATCTGTGTGCAAGTGACTCATTGGCCACATTAATATTAAAGAAATGTTAAATAAATTAAGAAATTAAATTAAAGAAATATTAAAATTAAAATTAAAATTAAAGAAATATTAAAGAAATTAAACAGAAATGTTTAATTTGCCTTTTTGATTGGTTACCTGAGGGATGGAGAAGTGAGTAGGCCCTTCTGTTGGCAGTCCTAGAATGTGGACAGCACATCTGAGTCAGAGACAGCACAGCATGGAGTTCTAGTGTTAGTCCCAGTCCACTACTCACCAGCAGTTTGCACATGTACAAGTTTCTTAACCTTCTACACCTCAGTTTAAAATTTATCTTTTTTAGAATTAAGATCAAGTATGTAAAGTGTTTTATACTACACTTATATTAAGTTTTCTATAAGTGGAATTTTTAGAAAGTGGTGGCGTGCTGTGGTCTAGTTAGAATCATTGTTTTAGGAAAGGATATGGGAATGACAGGATGGTCAGCATTTGGGCTATTTGGATATCACACATAGAGTTTTTTTAGTAATTTCATAATAATGAAGGCAGAGATCAGGTTAACTAGATTGAACTAGAAAGGAGGAGTGAAGTTGAAGTGGAGAGAACTAATGAAGCCTGTTCTTTCATGATTTCAGTCAAAGATGTAAGAAAGGATACTATGTTGAGGATGAAGCAAGGTTGAGAAAAGGACTTTTTGAGTTTGTTTTGTACAGAGGAAGAACAAACTTGATGCATGTGTGACACAGGGAAAAGAGCCAGTGGAGAGGGAGAGATGAAATAGTCAAGTGGAGAAAGTAAATAGAGAAGGTTGAGCAAGTTCTGGAAGTGTTAGAGGGTGGGGCGCAGTAGGGAAGTAAATTTTAGAAAAGATAAGAACATTCCTTTTTTTGAGGCAGGTGGAATGTAGATTAAAAACAAGTGAAAAGATAGATGTTGAGGGAAATGTTAGGCAAGTTGAAATGTATTTATGATGGAAAAGAAGTAGATTGCACAGCAGCATTGGGGTGCCTTTTGAGAGTGGAAGCCAGGATGTATTTATAGTAAATCTAATCAGCAGGACAGATCCAGGGTGATCCAGGTTTTGGGAAAGGTAATAATGGTGTGATCAAAGAAGTCTGTGGCATCCTGTTATTTTATTTTTAAGAACTGCTCTGTATTACCATTTCACGAATTTATGGTATGGAAGCAAGTTGATTTCTGTGTCCACCTTATATTTGTCTCATGATGCCACTGTGCCTTCATGTAGCTTAGGTCAATGTTTCAATCTGGAGTTATGAACCGTTAGTGAAGGGATCATGAAATCAGTGCAGTTTTTTTTTTTGTTTGTTTGTTTGTTTTAAATAAAACAGAATAGGTAGTATTCAGTATAAGCCATTTGTGGTTTACTTTTAAATTTGTATATAGTGCATTTAAAGTGTGTGTGTGTGTGTGTTAGGTTGTGTTATAAAATGTAGTTTTTCCTGTTAGCTACTGTCAGAAAAATTGGAAAGTCAATGCTTTTATTCCAATTCGCCTTTCTGATAATACTTCTAGTGGACAGGAGAGAGAGAGAGATTGGTACCTAAATGAAACTTGAGTCTCAAAGGGCAGAAAGGGCATAAGACAGGTGTTTCTATGGAAAAGAGCCTCTCCCTCAGTTGTTCCTATGGTACTAACACTGACTATTGTTGCTTTTGTTATCTCTGCTTCTTCAAGCAATAAAATAAGCCATTCTCCTTTCTGACCTCCATTTTAGAGGAATAATTATTTTGAGTAAGAAGGGTTAGTCCATATCTCCCTATGTGCTAAAGACTAAGATGTCTAGTCATCTGTAGTCCTGCCTAGAATTTAATTAGGTTTGTTTTACTGACAGAGTTAACCAATGTGTGTAAGTCATGTTTCTACTTTCTTAAAAATGTTGCCTGTGAAGATTTGGAAAGAGAAAAATTAGGCTGCATTTCAGATGATTTATCATTTTTTCCCTAGGTTGAGGATTGGGTGTTCCTGAGGATTAGGTGTTGGGAGAATCAGTTTGTTCTAAGACTGAGTGGCTCCACCTACTTATGTCGTTTAATCCTGAAAATGGTTGTGAGGAAATGAGGCTCCTACTCAATAGGCAACTAGCTAAAGACACCTAGCACAGAAGGTAGTAGAGTTTAGTTATTGAATAATGGTCCATCTAATGCTGAAATCTGTACCTTTTCCATTGTATTACACAGAAGTAATTCTAAAATCTATGCCTTTTCCACTGTATCACATATAAGCGAATTTATATAATTTACATCACATGTATTTCCTCCGGTAAATGAGGACCAAGGCACATAGCCTACAGAGTGATGTGCAGTCATGCAACTCTTCCCTTAGTTTCCTGCCCAGCTCTTCTCTTATGTTAGAATGCTTTGAGATATGTTGTCAGTGGGAGGGGTTGGGATGTGGAGGTGTTAGGCTCCGTCCAGATATCTGTGTCAGCCCAAGAGTAACTCTTTTCTACTTAGAGTTCAATGAAATGTAGTAACAAAAAGTTAGGTTATGTGCTTTTAAAAGCTCTTTTTTTTTCTTTTGTAGACTATGCCAGTTGCAATGGCTTTATTAAGAGATGTTCATAATCTTTGTCCTAAAGAAGTCTTAACGTTTATTTTAGACTTAATCAAGTACAATGACAACAGGAAAAATAAGGTGAGGTACTTTTATTTTCTTATCTTCTACAACAGTTTTCTTAGAAAGGCAGAGTAATTTTCTTAATATTACAAAACTACCCAATGGTATTTGTTTCTGAATAAATAGTCTATAAAAATCATCGTTGAGTCCATAGTACTTGAAATTTCTAGAGACAGAGGCATGTAAACACGATTTATTAGAATAACCAGTGGATAAAAAACAAGATTAGTTTTTAAATGTTCTTCAAACCTCTTGTAGTGTGGAGAGGAGTAGTGCATCAAATTTGGGATAGCCAGCTAAAACTTGGTAAAACCTGACAATACAATTTTATTTATATACATTTATTTTTTTGTTCACCTAGTGATACCTAAAAGAGTTCTCGATTGGGATTAACTTGTTCCTTGATTCATTTGACCTTTTTCTTTTTTCTTTTCTTTACCATTATGTCTTTATTCATTTATTTAGCAAATAGCAATTGGGTGTCATGCTTCAAAAATTATTTCATCCTACTTTTTAACAGTCCAACAATCAACAAATGTTTTTAAGAATATATGCTATGCTAGAGAGTGTCCCATGTTACCTGGAATGGAAAGATGGTTGATGTCTTAATGAACTTTATTTATTCATTAAACAACTGCTCTATATTAGTCTGATTTTATACCATCAAGGACACAACCTGGTAGGGAAATCAGACAAGTAAACAGTTGGCAGTCATATGTGATAATTGATCCAATGGAAGTATATATGATTCCCTAGGGGAATGCAAGGTGTAGTCCTCTCTCAATATCCATGGGGGATTGGTTCCAGGACCCCCTTTTTGGATACCAAAATCTACAAATGTTGAAGTCCTTTATATAAATATTTGCATATAACCTATTCACATTCTTTCATATACTTTTAAATCATCTCTAGATTACTTGTAATACCTAATACAATGTAAATGCCATATATATCATTGTTAATACTGTACTGTTTAGAAAAGAATGGCAAGGAAAAAAGTCCATATGTGTTCAGTGCAGGCACAGCCTTCCTTTTTCTTCCCCCAAATATTTTTGATCTGAGGTTGGTGGAATTCACAGATGCAGAATCCATGGATATGGAAGCCACATATACAGAGAGAGGGTCAGATATAGTGTCTACTTCGAAGGATGTAGAGAGAGACTCAGGGAAGTTTAGTATAGAAGTAGTGACCCTCAAACTGAGTCATAAAGATGAATAGGATTTTCCCAGAGTTTGAGTAGGACCAGTCTAGGAAGATTGTTCTAGCAGAAGGAACAGCACATACGAAGACACAAGTAAGTGTTAGGATAAGTCAAATTGATGAAACTTTTAATAAAACATTACAACAGTAAAAAAAAAAAAAAAAAAGTCACAGGCATGTTTATTAAAAGATGACTATTTTAATGAAAATCAGGAAAAAAATATTGCCTCTTTAACATTCAAATAATTTTAAGCTTAAAGACTCCTTTAAAAATTAACATTTTAAAAGAATATATTAACTCATTTTTTCTTGCCACTGTTTAATACTGTTGACTTCATCTCTGATAGGGTTTATGGTCATTGGTCTCTCCCAGAATAAAGCATATTAGGGACATAGGAGTCCAAGGTTATCTTTTAGTTGCCTTTGTCATGATAGTCCAACCTTTTTTAATGAGTAGTAAGCTCATCTATGCATACTAATTTTAGGAAGCATGTGCTTTTTATTCTTTCATTATTGTTTTGCTCAAATGGCCCAGATTTTCATGTAATTTAATACTAAATTAGAATAATAAAACTAATAACTAGTAACTAAAACTAGTAACATTAAATTAACATAAGTTATCTAGTGTTTTATTTCACTCAATACATAGGTGGCTAAGTAGTTCCCAGGGAAATTTTATCTGATGGATGGTATAACAGGCTGTTTCCCATTATTTCACTTAAAAGTTAATTTCATGATTATGTTAAAGTTTTTTCAGCAATCAACCTTTATTTTTTATTTATTTATTATTATTTTTTGAGATAGAGTCTCGCTCTGTCACCCAGACTGGAGTACACTGGCGTGATCTTGGCACACTGCAACCTCCACCTCCCAGGTTCAAGCGATTCTCCTGCCTCAGCCTCCCAGGTAGCTGGGACTATAGGCATGTACCCCCATACCTAGCTAATTGTTGTACTTTTAGTGGAGACGAGGTTTCACCATGTTGGCCAGGCTGGCCTCGAACTCCTGACCTCAAGTGATCTGCCTGCCTCGGCCTCCCAAAGTGCTGGGATTACAGGTGTGAGCCACCATGACCAGCTGCAGTCAACCTTTAAATTGTGTTGGCCTGCTTGTAGGAAGCCCTCAGATGTACCTAAAACACATAATTACTATTTTTTTTTTAATTACTCTCTGATGCTTGATTTGGGGATTTGATTTCCAATTTTTTTTTTTTTTCTCGAGGCAGGGTCTGGCTTTGTTACCAGGCTGGAGTACAGTGGTGCAATCCTGTCTCACTGCACCCTCTGCCTCCTGGGTTCAAGTGATTCTCCTGCCTTAGCCTCCTGAGTAGCTGAGATTACAGGCACGTGCCACCACAACTGGCTAATTTTTGTATTTTTTTAGTAGAGACAGGGTTTCACCATGTTGGCCAGGGTGGTCTCGATCTCTTAACCTTGTGATCCACCCTCCTTGGCCTCCCAAAGTGCTGGGATTACAGGTGTGAGCCACCACGCTTGGCCTCCAATTTTTTAAATATTTAATAAAGTTCTTTTTTTGTCCTGTCAGGCTTTGTTAGAGGTTTTTTGTTTGTTTTTACCATGTATGTTGCATTAAAATAGGTCCGAGGATCCTACTAGGAGTAAATTGAAATTTTTTAATGAGCCGTTTTATTCGTATGATGCTGGAGTGTCTTTCTAATAGCACCAGGTTCAAATCTCATGGAACACTACAACTACAAGAAGCCAAATGCGTAATTTAGTTCAGCTATTTGCTTTGTAACAGGACTAAGAGCATATAAGGGGAAGTAATTATCTCTGCTGCTTTTAAAGAAGTCCAAGATTGGGATTTTAGGACCAGTTTTACTAATCAAGTCAGTATGTGGTTTTGTAAAGAAATTTTCTCCGTGTAAATCAGGGATGTCCAATCTTTTGGCTTCCCTGGTCCACATTGGAAGAAGACTTACGTTGGGCCACACATAAAATACACTAACACTAACGATAGCTGATGAGCTAAAAAAAAAAAAAATTGCAAAAAAACACACAATATTTTAAGAAAGTTTATGAATTTGTGTTGGGCCACATTCAAAGCTGTTCTGGGCTGTCTTGAACAAGCTTGGTGTAGATAGTCTATATGTGTAGATAGTCTACATGTCATAGTAAATATATAAAATACTGGTTAATAGTAGATGCCTTTTAGTTATCTTTCTCTAAGTGAGACACTTAAAGTTCATTTATTTAATAGACATTATTACTAGGTTTTGATGATACTGAGATGAATAACTTATGATCTTTCCAGGTACTTAATCTATAATGAAAGAAATACACAAAAGATCAATTTTTTTTTTTTCGCGACTGAGTCTCGCTCTGTGGCCCAGACTGTAGTGCAGTGGCGCAATCTTGGGTCACTGCAAGCTCCTCCTGCCAGGTTCACGCCATTCTCCTGCCTCAGTCTCCCGAGTAGCTGGGACTACAGGCGCCCGCCACCAGGCCTGGCTAATATTTTGTATTTTTAGTAGAGACGGGGTTTCACCGTGTTAGCCAGGATGGTCTCAATCTCCTGACCTCATGATCTACCTGCCTCGGCCTCTCAAAGTGCTGGGATTACAAGCGTGAGCCACCGCGCCTGACCAAGAACAGTATTTTTAGTAAGATAAGTATTATGACATTAGGTTAACTAACCTGCTGAGGAAGTGCTTGGAAGGATTAACCCAAATTAAGGATGGGGAAGCCAGAAAAGGCTTCCTGGGAAAGGTTGAATCTAGAGAGAGCTGTAAGTTGATGAGGTGAAAGGACAGGAGAGGAGGAATACAGGGTCAATTATAGAATCTTAAAAGTATAGAGAGGGAGCTTTTTGAATTTGAGAGGTTTCAAGAAGATCATTATTTTAGAAGTTATTTTTATAACTTTTGGCATATTTCTTGAAAATAGATCCATCTTCCTCATATTTTTACTTACTTTGTAAGATGTGAATATCTTAACTCCTACTATAAATCCAGTTTCTATTATTGTATAAATTATATAAGTACAAAGAGGATATAGATATAAATTTAAAAGTATATCAACTTTTAACTTGGAACTTATCGGCAAACTGAGCTCTTCAGACTTCTTTGTATTTTTTTTTTACATAATAGAAATGGTAGTGTATTATAAGAATGGCTTTAGCACAGTGCTATTTGGAAAAGAATAATCTACTTATTAGATAATTGTGCTATTTAATTTTGTAGCCAAATTGTGCTATTATTTCTTCTCTTATCTTTTTAAAAAAGGAAATTTTTAAAGAAAGGTAACCATAGGGTTTTTTGGTGTTTTGTTTGTTTGCTGTTTGTTTTTGAGAAAGTCCAAGCTTGCTTTTTCAATAATGATGTTGATTCTGATGTCCACTTATTGAGTGCTTAATACGTTCTTAGTACCATAAGTGCTTTTCCTATATTTTCTTATTTTAAGTAATATTATTATTTGAGATGGAGTCTCTCTCTTGTCACCCAGCCTGGAGTGCAGTGGCATGATCTCGGCTCACTGCAACCTCCACCTCCTGGGTTCAAGTGATTCTCCTGCCTCAGCCTCCTGAGTAAGTGGGATTATAGGCTTCTGCCACCACACCCAGCTAATTTTTATTTTTAGTAGAGACGGGGTTTCACTATGTTGGCCTGGCTGGTCTCGAACTCCTGACCTCAGGTGATCACCCACCTTGGCCTCCCAAAGTTACGGGATTACAAGCGTGAGCCACCAGGCCCAGCCTTATTTTAATTAATATTATTATTTTATATTATGTGTCTTTTAAAATTTTATTTTGTTTTAGATTGAAGAGTTGGGTACGTCTGCAGTTTGTTACATAGATA